TCCTTTGTCTTGTTTTGTTCAAGTTTCAAATTGCCTTCTCCAGGCAAGGCTGATGAAAGTTCAAGCTGCAAGTTAATTTGAATTTTTCTTTTTGCTTTCACAGGAAGTGAAAAGGCGACCAAACACTAGCATTCATGCCACCAAAAAGAGGAGTGTTTTGCAGTCACAAGACCTGAATTCGAATCACGACTCCTCTTAGCTGCTCTGTAATCAGGCACAATTACTTGGGTCTTTGAATCTCACTTTTCTTATCTAGAAAACAGAGATAACGTTACTTCCTTCATAAGACTGTGGTGGGAAATAAATTATCTGTGCATTCTGAAACCACCTAAGCCTTGTGCACGTTTTATTTCTGGGATCGCCACTGGTTCCTTGGTATGGTTTCAGAAAAATAAAAAGGAGGCCCCTGAGAAAAGGTTGCTGATCCTTCATCTGAGGTCAACCCTCTCTGGTCCCAAAGATGGCCTGGGCGGTCCCGCCCTGCGGCTCCCGCCAACCCAGTGCTGGACCAGCCCGGAGCCCAGGGGTCCCAGCCAAAATGCCTGCTGTCTTTCAGGTCAAACGTCACAATGCCCGAACCCCAGAAAGGCCGAAAGGCCAGGCAACCCCGAAAGACGACGAAGTCAACCCAGGGCCCAAGGGAGAGGGAGGGTCAGTGTGTGCTGCTGGAGGAGGGAGGCTGGGGTCGGGAGGACGAGGCGCCCCACACAGCGGCAAGGCGACGGAGGGCAGGAACTCGTCATCCTGGGTGAAAGCGGGGCCCAGCAAAGGAGCCCGGCGACAGGAATCTTGGTTCCACCCCACGACTCCCGGCTGCGACTCCCGTTCTATCCCTAGCCGCCCGGGCCCCTCGCCCCGCCCCCAGCGGGCACTCAGGCCGTACCACTGTGCCTTCATGGGGGTGGAGTTAGAGCGTCGGCTAGTCCTGTCGAGGAGAGAGAGGTTCTTTCTTCAAAAAGTATCATTATGTATAGTAGTCACATAGCTTTAGTTAACTTATTTCCCTTCTACCTGCTTGGATCCTCTACGTACCCTAGGAAGTGGGGGGAGTGCATTCCTGCTTCCCCCATGCTCTTCCGCATTTGGTGCGCGCCTGCGCAGTGCGTAGGCGGCAGGGCGTACTTAAGCTTCGACGCAGGAGGCGGGGCTGCTCAGTCCTCGAGGCGTCGGTGCTTCGCAGAGTTGGAATCTTGTTGCTTGCTTTCCTGTGCGCGCGTGCGCGGACATGGCATCAAACGGTAGGTCAGGGCGCGAGGCGGCAGCGGCGGCGCTCCGAGCCGAGGCCTCCTAGCTGGGCTTTTCATTTTCTGTGGGACCAGGGCGGCGATCGCGTGTGGGATTCTTTCGCACCCCTGTGGCGGGAAGCTGCGGAGAGGGGTGACTGGGGGAGGCTGGTGTCGCCATTTTGTTTCGCTCCTCTGGCGCCTAGCGCGCTGGGCGGGAAGTCTTCTCTTCCCAGTCCGTTTGCTTGAGGTGGGCGTTGGAAGGGACGCTTCTTGGTGGTTTGAAGCGTGAGGTGAGGGTGGAAACGCCTGGTCTCCCTGGCCTCGCCTCCCCCCACTCCTGGCCCGCGCTCGGGCCCGCTTTGTCGCAGTGCTGCATCCGGGAACTCGCGGCGCGCACGCGCTCTGCGGGCCCCTCCCCCCTCGCGGCGCTGATACCCCTTCCCCGCCTCGTGTTGGCTCAGCTTTTTGTCGCGAGACCCTTCGCGGAGGACTCGGCGGCACGCGTCCGGAGTAAGCCCTGTCCCTCTGGGGTCCTTCGGGAAGGGGCGGGACCGCTCCGTTCCCGCCTCGGTTGCCACGCGGCGGGGGCGGAGGCTCGGGATCGTGGCCGCGCTCCCGCTTAACGGTTTGGCGGTGGTGGTCGGGAATCGACCAACGTATCGTATCGGTGACCCGGCTCGAGAGTTTTTCCCGCCTAAATTTTTTTTTTTTTTTTTTGAGACTGTCTTCCTCTGTTGCTCAGGCTGGAGTGCAGTGGTACGATCTCGGTTCACACTGCAACCTCCTCCTGGATTCAAGTGATTCTTCTGCCTCAGCTTCCTTAGTAGCTGGCAGGCGCCTGGCTAATTTTCGTATTTTTTTTTTGTAGAGACGGGGTTTCACCATGTTGATCAGGCTAATTTCGAACTCCTGACCTCAGGTGATCCGCCCTCCTTGGCCTCCCAAAGTGCTGAGATTACAGCCGTGAGCCGCTGCGTCCGGCCTAAATTTCTTGTTTCTGAGGTGGGGAGGGAGAAGAACCACCATCGGAGGCCACTCCCTCTCCTGGTCCTTTCCCTTTTCCTGCGGGGGAAGCGCCGCGTTTCCCGTGCTGGGTGGATGAGTTGATCTTGCTCGTCTGTCGTAAGTGGGGCGTTTCAAAACCGCTTTCGCTGATTTTTGGTTCGCCGTAGGGAAAGCAGGGTAGGTGAGAAAACGAACCATCTGGAGCGACAGGACTGGGGAATCGAGTACCAGTTGACTTTTGCCTCCTAAAGCGTTTTGCCTCCTAAAGCGAGCACTTGGATGATATTTTGGATTCCGAGGGTTTTTGATTCTGTGACTTCACTAAAAAGCCCACTTAATCTCCGGGGTTGGTCACAGAGTGAAGAATGGCCTTTTTTGAGACATTCTCTTTCTGTGGGTCTGGGTTGAGAGAACGGAGGCCACAATCTGAACACTGCTTGAATTCAAACCTGTGCCAGTTGGTAGTTCTGGGACTTCGGGCAAGTTAGTCTATTTTGACTCCTGGGGATAAGGCCTTTATCATAGAGTGGATGAAAGTAATGTGCAGTGTTCTAGAGCAACAGTCACTGACATGAATTGGGCTTGCAGAAAGTGGCTGACCACCTAGACCCTGGTTTTCCCAATGGTTAAGGCTTCTGGGACTCTGTAGAAACATGCATTTTCTTCTATTGTGAGAACACTTGGCTGGTGTGCCAGCTTGCTCTTGTCTCATGGGGGAATTGTATGACCTTTTTTGCAACATGGTCCAATTTTTTTTTTGGAGACAGTCTCGCCCTGTTGCCCAGGCTGGAGTGCAATGGTGCGATCTCAGCTCACTGCAACCTCTGCCTCCCAGGTTCATATGAGTCTCCTGCCTCAGCCTCCTGAGTAGCTGGGATTACAGTCGTCCACCACCATGCTTGGCTGATTTTTTGTATTTTTAGGGATTTCACCATGTTGGTCAGGCTGGTCTCAAACTCCTGACCTCAAGTGGTACACCCACCCCGGCTTCCTAAAGTGCTGGGATTACAAGGTGTGAGCAACCGTGCCTGGCCAACGTGGTCTTATTTACCCATCAGTGCTTGAGTTAAGGAATTTAGCTTTAATTCAACTCTTTCAGAGTGTTGGATGAAGATAATGTGATTGTATTTTTCTTTTGCAGATTATACTCAACAAGCAACCCAAAGGTGAGTGCTATTTTTGCGTTTCCAAAGCTTGTAGAGGGCGAGGGTGGTCAAGGCATCTTTTCCTGATCACTCTGGTTTTACTTTTCTCCAGCTATGGGGCCTACCCCACCCAGCCCGGGCAGGGCTATTCCCAGCAGAGCAGTCAGCCCTACGGACAGCAGAGTTACAGTGGTTATGGGCAGTCTACAGATACTTCAGGCTATGGCCAGAGCAGCTATGGTTCTTCTTACGGCCAGACCCAGAACAGTGAGTCTCTCTCAGCGAGTCATCTCTTCCTCCTCTTTCTGAATGTTGCTTTTCTTCATTTTGAGATGGAGTCTCACTGTGTCACACAGGCTGGAGTGCAGTGGCGTGGTTTCTGCTCACTGCAACTTCCGCCTTCCTGGTTGAGGTGATTCTCCTGCCTCACCCCCCTGAGTAGCTGGGATTACAGGCGCATGCTACCACACCCGGCTATTTTTTTTTTTGTATCTTTAGTAAAGACAGGGTTTCAGCCATGTTGGCCAGGCTGGTCTCTAACACTTGACCTCATGATCCACCCGTCTCAGCCTCCCAAAGTGATAGGATTACAGGTGTGAGCCACCGCGCCCGGCTCTAAATACTGCTTTTGTTAAACCTGAGGAGCATGGAAATGTTGAAACTGTTCCATATTTCCTTTCCCTGAACCAGTGTATAATACTCAAAACTCTTGGGAGTCTGAGTTCTTTACAGGGCATTGTGGCAAGCCTGTAGTCCCAGCTACTGAGGAAGGAGCATCCCTTGAACCCAGGAGTTTGGGGCTGCAATGAGCTATGATTGTGTCTGAGAATAGCCACTGCATTCTAGCCCGGGCAATGTATCGAGGCCCCGTCTCAAAAACAAAAAACCAAAAATGTTTATTGGTTTGTAATTGTTTCCATTTATTTTATTTGGCTTTTAATTTTTTTGGTCCTTCTTGTATTTTTCATCTCAGCATGAAAGAGAGCATACTTTCTAAATGGAGAACAGTGTTAGGCTGATTCTTAAATTGAGAAAATGGTTTTGTTTGAAAATGTATAAAATCATATGATACCTAAGAAGGTGGGATTTGTCCCAAGGTCCTGAAGCATAACCAACGAATGTGGTTGTCCTGCAGAAACTGCACACACAGCTGCACATTGCAGTGCGGTTAACAGGGATCCTTGGGCCTGGGATTAGAGGGTGGTTCTGGAGATGGTGTTGGGATTGGTGGCGTGAAATTGGAACTGTTCTAAAGAGTTGGTAGAAGTTGGAGCATTAACTTGAGGCTTTAGAAGGAGGATGGTAACTGTTTTTGCCTGTGAGTTGCTAGATTACTAATGGCTTCTGAGAGGCTGACTTTTTGAGTATTTGTGAGCATTAGGTCGTATGTTTTCTTCAACCCATTCCATACATTTTCTCTTTCTTTGTGGCTTTTGTGACTCCCTTTTTTTTATCCTCATAGCAGGCTATGGCACTCAGTCAGCTCCCCAGGGATATGGCTCAACTGGTGGCTATGGCAGTAGCCAGAGCTCCCAATCATCTTACGGGCAGCAGTCCTCTTACCCTGGCTATGGCCAGCAGCCAGCTCCCAGCAGCACCTCGGGAAGGTACAGTGGTGTTGATGTCAGGGGAAAGCTTGAAAAGGGGTGAATTGATAAGGAATAATAAAGGGACCCAGGAGTAGGAGCAGCTACGAGGCGTAATTGGTGTGGGGGAACCTATGTTGGGTACAGAGAATGGAATACACTAAAAATGAAATTTGGGGTATGCTGGGATTATGAAATTGTTTTTTATTCGTTTTCCTTAGTTACGGGAGCAGTTCTCAGAGCAGCAGCTATGGGCAGCCCCCCCAGAGTAGCGGCTATGGCCAGCAGTCTGGCTATGGTGGACAGCCGCAAACCTACGGACAGCAGCAAAGCTCCTATAATCCGCCTCAGGGCTATGGACAGCAGAACCAGTACAACAGCAGCAGCGGCAGCAGCAGTGGTGGTGGAGGAGGTGGGGGTGGAGGTGAGATGTCCTCAGCTTTGCCAGCAGTCCATTTTCTATAGGGATTTGTATTCTCCTGTTTGACTCTTAGCTTAAAGGGATTGCTTTCTTGTTTCTTGGATGTCTTTTAATTTTATTTTGTCCTTTATTGCTTGGTACTTGTTGAACCTTTTTGTGCTACTTTACTTTTTTGTTTGTTTTTTTCCTTAAAGCCTATAGCACCCGGTATTCCCAGGCGGTCTCCCATCCAGGTACTAGCTAGGCCTGACCCTGCTTAGCTTCTGAGATCAGACGAGATGGGGTGCGTTCAGGGTGGTATGGCCGTAGACTTTTTTTTTAATCATCCTTCCTTTTCTCACAGGTAACTATGGCCAAGATCAGTCCTCCATGAGTAGTGGTAGCAGCGGCGGCGGCGGTGGTGGTGGTGGTTATGGCAATCAAGACCAGAGCGGTGGAGGCAGTGGTGGCTACGGACAGCAGGACCGTGGAGGCCGTGGCAGGGGTGGCGGCGGTGGTGGCGGTTACAACCGCAGCAGTGGTGGCTATGAACCCAGAGGTCGTGGAGGTGGCCGTGGAGGCAGAGGCGGCATGGGGTAGGTGTCTTATGAGCCAGGGAGTATCTTTGGTGGGGAGTGTGGAGGATTGCATGACTTTCCCTGAAGCCAGTCCCTAGTGCATGGTTTAGTATTCTTGTTGTCTAGGGATCTGTGAGGGCTTTGATTTGGGGTCAGTGACTTTGTTTTTACATCCCCATTTTATTTTTGTGAGAACTTGGGAGCTGAAACTCCCATCCATACCACTGAATAGAGATTTTGAGTATTGACACTTGTTTCCAAAGAGAAAGAAATCATACGTAGTTATGTATGGATTGGAGTCATTGATACCCTAGGCAAGAAACGTGGAAGTGAAGACTTCTTTCTCTGCAAGGGAAACCGATGATCCCACTCCTGGGAAATAGTAGGGGAAACTTGGTATGTGTATTCCCATGTGTCCTCTAGGGAGTTGGTAATGATTAACCTGACTTCAGCTTCCAGGAATTGGCTACTCTTCCTGTTTTCTGTAGTCATTTGAATCCACGAGCTTGATTTGCACTAATTTGACAGTGATTTTGTGTGTGACTTGGTTTGTGGGGCCATCTGACTGAAGTGTGCAGACCTTTTGGGCAAAAATATGCTTGACAGTGGTCTCCCACCTATTTGTTCCACTGTCTGCCTTCCCGTGGTTACTTAAAAATCATCAATTTGTCCAACTGGACCTTGTTCCTGCTGAAGTTGATTTGAGTAAAACCTTAGATTTGATGTTAAAACAGTAGTCAAATCTGTTGGTAAATATGATTTGAAGGACCCTACCCTGTCTCCCTTGAAAAAGGGGAGAAGTGTCAGTGTTACTGTTTTTGGAAAAAGTAGATTTTTAAAACAAGTTTGGATATGGTAAGTATGCAGAGGTGGGTGGGGGCAATCTCAAAAACATACAAAAATAAGGAAAACTCTGTTGTGTGCGTGTGTTTAATGCAAAACTTTAAAAAGAAAAACAACTGTTATGTGACTGTTAACTTGCTCTGCATTTTATGTGCCACAGGTATGAAAGGTGACATTGCAAAATACTCCGCTCTTCTCGCAGTGTAGAAGGGGTGACCCCGGGGGTTGGGGGAGATCAAAAACAGCTCAGTAGTTAGGACAGGGCTTAGCTAAGTTTGTCTTGCTTTAAGGGGAAATTGCTTTTGGTTTTGACTTTTTATGGAATGGGGTTGGGTCTGCTTGCTGCTTTCAAAGCAAAAACCACAAAAATGTGTTCAGGGCTACCCCAGCCTGGTGTGAAATGTCTTCTGGGTAAATTGGGGTAGGGTTTTTAAACCAACCACTTGGTTGTCAACCACTTGCGACAAGAGGAAAAAAAAAACATCTCCATCGGAAGAACGACCAAGGAAAATGGGTCATTTTTTTTCCAGAGGAAATAGATATATAACCTTTTAAAACAAAATCTTTATAAACTGTGTCTGAGAAATTGCACACGTGTGTGTGACACGCTCAAAGGTCAGACAAGGGGTGGTCAGGAAGGGATGTATTTTAGTAGCCACTTGTATCTTTTTCCGAAAACACCTACCCATGTTTGGGGAATGTTAAACAAAATCAAAAAACACCCTTTTGTAGCCGTTGGAAGCTTCATGTCCTTTCTTCTAACTTGTCTTCTCCAGCGGAAGTGACCGTGGTGGCTTCAATAAATTTGGTGGTAAGTGAACAGAGTTTCCAAAATTCCCAACTCCCAGCAATGCTTTGTCTGATTGTTCATTTGCAGATGTCTTAGCGTGTTAATTTAAGTGCAAAGGTTTTGAGGTGTCCAGAACCACCTCCAAAAAGGGGTAGGGTAGAATGCCACCTGTTGCCTGGTGTGTGCTAACCTGGAGCAGGCAGGGGTAAGACTCAATAGTCATCTTTTACCAAATGGATTTGCCCCCGGTTAATAAGAGGGGTCCAGTAGGCCTGGGATAGGGCTGTTGCCACACCTGGCACTTAGTGACCACCATCATGAGAAACTGGAGAGTGTGTGGTGGAACACGTGGTGCCAACTTGGCTTTAGGACCCTTTTGATCATTGTGTCCAAGGCTTGTGTGTGTGGGAGTGTGTGTGGGAGACAACCTCCAAATGTTTTAATTCTGGAAGAGGGATGTGACATTGCCCTGCCCTGAGGATGGTGAAGTTGGTATACGTTTATAAAGTACGGAATGGTGTCAATGAATGCAATTCTCTGTATATGGACTTAACTCAGATGGGCAAATAGAAACTAGCTCTGGGAAGGAACATGTGCACTACTTCAAGAAAGTTTGGAAGCATGTGTGGCTCATGGGAAATAACCAGGTCTTAAAACGGCACAAACTGAATTCATGGACCAGGAAGGTCTTAAAACAGCACACACTGAATTCATGGAAAAATGACAAATTTGAGAAGTCTCCCAGTAAGCTGGAACTTTTCTGGTTTGGTTAACTAACAAAAGGTTTCTTGATTTGTCTCAACATTTAAAGCCAAAGGCTTGGGTTCATAACTTAGGTGTCATTGCGTGTGGGTACAATATTTATATATGGCGATTTCAGATAAACATTGGTTCAAAGATGGTCTCTGGAAAAACAAAATAGAGGCTGCATTATGAAAATAAGATTTCTGGTCTGTTCCCTGGGACATGCTTAAAAAATATAATAGGATGTATGGTTTTTATTTTCATGTGGTTTTGGGGAAACATAACATGGTTTTAAGAATGGTTTCTAAAGATGAAATTAAAAATTGTTCCACAAGGGATAAGTGTCTTTGGTGGTAAAGTTGGGAGAAACTGGATGATCGCATGGCTCGTGGCGAGCCCATCTCTCTTGGGTGAGAGAACCGGGCCAAGCTGAGTTGGTTTGTTCACCTTAATGGGTCTCCTTTCCCATGCTGTCTGTGCTGAGGACATTTCCCAGCCTGAGCTGGGGGAGGCAGCATTTTCTGAAGTGTGGAGTTGTCTCTGTGGAGACTCAAGTTACAGATCTTAAGGGGCCTTCCTAGAATTTTCTCCTCTGGGCAGGTGACCCAGGAAAGGGTTTTGGAGTGAGGCTGTGAGCACTTACATGATATTTTGCAAATTTGGATTTGGTGTTAATTTTTTTCCTTGTCCGTTTTTTCTTGTTGACTAATGGTTCCCCTTTCCTTGTTTTTGTTTTTGTTTTGTTCTTTTTTTTCCATGTCACTTAAGGCCCTCGGGACCAAGGATCACGTCATGACTCCGGTGAGTTCACAGGTGGTGGCATGAATAGAGTAGCTAAAGTGGATCAGGACTGACTGGATATTCTTTGAAACTGTTACTAAAAGGAAACTGAAAAAATGGGGGTAGAGAAAAAGGGAGTTAGGTGTATCGTTAGTTAGCAGTAAGAAGTAATCATGAAGTATTTCTTAGAAATAACCTGGCTTGTGGGTTCCACCCCCCGCGATTTAGGAGATCTGAGATGACCCTGAAAATCTGCCTAGCAAGTCCCCAGTGGTGCTGATGCACCTGGACCCCACTCAGAACTTTTGGTTTACTGCAGTGGTTATTTAAAAATGTGGATCACGTCCAAGTTGGTGAACAAAAACTAGTGAGCAAAGACCTGACCACACGAAGGAAAGCATTTCACTCTAGTTTAGATTGTATTGGTGTTTGTGTACTAGATTTTATTGTAAAATGGGTTTCTTACTTAATTTGGGGACCTTAACTGAAAGTTGATAAATAACTGATGTCCTTTGCCTGCGTGGTCTTGGGCATTTCACTCCTGAGCTCTGGTTTCTGTGCTATGTATGGACATGTTTCAAAGGATAACTGTCAAACCAAACCTAAAATTTATCAGCATGGCTGGCATAATATAGGCACTCAAAAGGGAATGTGGATTTCTTTTCGTTTGTCTTCCCTAAACCAAATCATACAAGTTGCTTGATGGATACTAGGTGTACTGCTTTTGGTTTTTTCCTCATATGTTTATTTGTTTTGCTTTTTCACATTTGCATTTTCTCCTCTGTTCAACAAGCAGAACAGGATAATTCAGACAACAACACCATCTTCGTACAAGGCCTGGGCGAGAATGTTACAATTGAGTCTGTGGCTGATTACTTCAAGCAGATCGGTATTATTAAGGTACTTGTGGAGTGGGTGCTTTCTGTCAGTATTGCAAGCTTTTGGGTTTCACACTTTAGTAAAAGCAAGTCTTT